AATTTATCAAAAGTTTCACTTTTGTGGCGCAATAGGTACACATAACCATATCTTGAGTAATCGTCGATAAAAGTGACGTAATACTTATACCCTCCTCTTGCCTTGATGTTTATGGGACCACAAATATCACTGTGCACAAGTTCAAGAACATCTTCAGCCCTATTGCCTTTAGGCCCAAATGGTCTTTTGGTCATTTTGCCCTCCAAACAAGATTCACATTGGGGTAAGGACTCAACCTTTAAAGAACTTAAAGGTCCATCCTTTACCAACCTCTGTATCCTGTTAAAGCTAATGTGAACAAGTCGCAAATGCCAAAGATATGTCTCATTAGAGTGAGAAGTTTTAAGCCTTTTAGAGTTATTAACAACTTCAGTGTTTAGCAGTGAGTCCATCTTAGGTTTGATAAAATATAGATTATTTTGCATCCATCCACCACAGATAAAAGACTTATTTTTACGAATCACAACTTTATTATTAAAAGAAACTGAATAAGAATCCTTAAATAAACAAGCAACTGAAATAAGATTCCTCTTAAATTGAGGAACATAAAAACAGTATCGCAAAAATAAACTCCTATAACTATCAAAATAAAGATGGATGTCTCCCACTGCTTCAGCCAACACTAGTGTTCCATCGCCCATCCTCAACGTGAAGCTTTCATTTAGAAGACTTCTCATTTGCTTGAACCCCTGCAGAGAAACACACACATGATTAGTTGCTCCAGAATCTATGACCCAGTTGTCACTAGATTCCTCAACCAGACATGCTTCCACAATCAAAAGATCACACTCACCTCCTTTGCCTTTAGCGGCTAGGTAGTCTTTACAATTCTTCTTCATGTGCCCCACCTTCCCGTAATGAAAGCACTTAAGCTTGTTTGGGTTCTTCTTCTTCTTGTTCTTGCCTTTGTTTGGCAGAACTGAAGAACTCTCCTTCTTAGCTACTTGCTTCTTCTTTCCATTTCCTGAAGAGGGTTTGGAGGAAGATGCCTCAGCAAAGTTGGCCTCCGTAATTGTTGACCCCTTGATCATCCGCTCAAACTTTTAGAGTTCTTGCATCAACTCTGTCAGGGTTATATTCTGTCTAGCGCTCAAATTGAACGTTGCCCTAAACAGAATATACTCCTTCGACAAAGTCTCAAAGATCATGGTCAATTGAGACTCAGCATCGATGTCGGCCCCATTGGTCTGAACATCAGCCAAATAGCCCATCACCTTCAGCATATGTTCCTTTATGGAAGACCCAGCCTTCTGTCTGCAGTTAATGAGGTTACTAAGGGCTTCCCGATGTTTTTCAGCGGCTTGGCCACCAAACATGTCCTCAAGATTATCCATAATCTGACGAGCAGTTATGTAATCTTCATGTTGTGCTTGTAGCACAATGGACATGCTCGCCATCATATAACAGTGAGCCATATCGTGAAAGTCCTTCCCAGTGTTGATACGCTACGAAAACCTCATTAGGAGCATCAACAGGTGGCTATGGAGGACAAGGTGTATTCAGTACGAAATTCAGTTTCTCAAAGGTTAGGATGATCCTTAGGTTCCTTTTCCAATCGGTAAAATTCTCGCCAGTTAAATTGTGTTTATTAAGTATCGATGATAATGCGCTAGAAGACATTTTGATCTACAATAAACATTCATATATCTAGTATAAGCAAACTTGCATAAACATTTAGTAATCAAACATATATACATGTTATAATGCAACAAATATGTTTGCGTGTCAAAATCTTGAAAAAATCACAACCTCACAACGATAATTCCAAACTCAAAATTTTGTAAGTCTCCTAGGGGAGATCATGCAAAATTTAATTGGGAACACGGATCCCCTCCGATCAATATATACCATCCGGATCAATCTCTGTCCAGCATATATTGATAATCGTTTTCTTTGGCCATTAATTTAATTAGTAGAGCTCCTAAGGGAGATTAATAATTAAATTAATCTTGAGTGTATAACCATCGTTTCAACTATTTGATCCATATTTTACTGGCTCTTGGGGTTCAACCCTCTCTGGGGGTTGCTCAGGTTGGGCGGCTTATGCTGGTACAGCCTATGGAGGGGGTGATCCTCCAGCCTGCTGACCTTATATCAACTGGGTAAGCAATTCTCTCAACTGTCTGCTTTCCTCAGCTTGGGCTACTATTTGCCCCTTGAGACCTGCTACTTCTTCAGCTAGGTCTGGTGTTGGAGGATTATGTTCTGCTTGTGTTCTCTTTGGACATCATGTTACTGTGTCTATATCAATTAAAGGGCAACATCATTAGTTTAAGTGCAAAAAGAACCGCTTCTAGAAGTTCTTGATGTTGGGATCTATATGTGCCTTAAGTATAGAAAATCGATTCTAGGGATTTTCTGTAGATTGACATTTTGATATTAATAAAAGAGGTTATTCATGTTTAATAAGTGGTGTCCTATTTACTTTCATTTGTTGAATGTATGATTAGTTGAGCAAACATAAATACTCCTAGGCTGTTGGTAACATATCGGATTACCGTTGTATACGGGGTATACATAGAAGACATGATAATTCGATAACAGTCTAAATAAAAGGTCCACAATCGATGGAATAAAATTTGCAGATCTTATTCATGTTAAGATTGTAAAGGTTGTCTACTTCCTTGGAAGGATGGTTTGTCTTGACCATCGGATCGATTCCGAGTAGAAACCTTGATGTATACTAGTATTGAGGTATGGCATTGGACTGGACCTAAAATGTTAATTGATTCGGTTTAATAATTCTGTTTATAAGTATCAATGACGCTTTGATTATCATCATTCATTAATCTTAATCCTGAAATGGATACTTGAGTTCGCATCCATGACTCATGCACTGTGATCCACTATAGGTGAGACACTGATAATTGATGGTTAATATACTTGTGTGTTGGGTGTATGACATATGGATGGAGAAATCAAGATTCATAGATACGGAAACCATAGCCATCTAATAGATGGTAAATGTTATCTACTTGAAGGCATTATTCGGGGATTGAAAGACAGAATAACAAGGCCTTGGCCATCGGTTTACTTTGTGTCCTCCGGTGGTTTATCGATTGTATGGTTTTACAATTGGTGGTTCTTTCAATGGAGAATAATGGAACTTTAAGTTAAATTGATTGAAAAGGTAAAACGGAATAAGTCCTTAATTCAATCATGGATAACATATGGGGATTAAGCGAGTGATGAATGATCATGGAAGAAGCACTACGTAAGAGAGCTTTCGTAATACGGTATGTAAACGGGAGTTTAGCTTTAGACTTTTAGTGGTATAGTCCTGAAGTTGATAATTGTTGAATAATTAATCAGGGATTAATTTTTCACAATTATAGGAGCCTCTTTACATATTTCAATCGGGTCCCTCTACTAGCTCATATAGTTCCACGAAGCATCTCGGGATTCGTTCTTAATGAGATCGGTAAGCTAAATGGAAATTAAGTAGTGTCTGATAAAGACATGGTACTCTCTTGCATGCAATTCTGAAAGGATTGGACATGTGAAATTAATGTGGACAAATATAATGATTTGTCGACATATGATTGGTTGTGGATAAAATAATTATTTTGGTTAATTGAATTTTGGAAATAAGATTGTGTTTGAATTGTTTAATTTTGGAAAAACAAAATTTATTCTCTCCTATTTAAAGTGAACGAATTTTAATGGATGGAGGGAAATAGATTTTGTTTCAAAATAGTTTAAAATATATTCCTAATATTAATTATTAATTAGTTTAAACAATGGAGCTTATTTGATAGATTTTCTTCATTTAAAAAAGATGATTCACGTTTTTTTGAGAGAAAGAAAATCTAGAATATTCCATTTGATTAAATTAATTAATATGGATAATGTTTGTGGAAAATATTTATTTAAAATCCAAACAAGAGAATCTTATTTAAATTCAAATTTTAAAAGGAGTTTGAATCAAGATAGGATTTGGACTTTTAGAAGATCAAAGGATCTTGATTTGAATTGAAACCAACAATCTTATCTCCTAAAGATAAGTGCACGAATTTTTGGAGTCCTTCTCCTAAGGAAATTCATGGATAAGGTTCATAGAACCTAGCCCAAAAAGTTTGTGATCTTTTGGTTCAAAAAGATTTTCTAGTAAAAATAATTATTAATTATTTTTTGGGTAGAAAATTTGTTTTTTTGAAAAAGGATCCATATATTATATTAGGGCTAGTGCTTCATGAAACAAGAGATAATAATAGATCACAAAAGGTGATACACGAATTTTTGGGAGAGAGAGAAAAACGTTTTTGGTCTTCTTCAGGATAAGGGAAAAACGTTTTTTGGGATTTTCTGGACTTAAGAATTCATTCATGGTGTGAGGAAAAATAAGAGAGAAATTTTCATTGAATCAAAACTAAGAGGAAAGGTTTTATCGAGTGAAAAAGATCGAGGTCAACTTGTTCCAGTCTTGAAGTTTTAAAGAACGAATCTAGATCCCTATCTTAACAAAGTACGTTAAGGTTGAGAAAGCGGGATCTAGGGTTCGTAGTGCAATACCGATCGCTTGGAACCTTACCACGTGTGCCCACACACACTCTGAGATAAGGAGCTCGAGAATAGTGGAGAAGATTCGTTGGTGGATGCTCTAAATATTATGGAGTCCAAGAAACACGGTATGTTTGATCATGCATTTAATTTATTGTTATATACATCATGAGTCTTCTTTCCTTGTTCGGCATTAAAATTTTAAAACTGCCGCTGCGCCGTAACTCTGATAACCGGATCCATTTCTCCAACACTTGACTGGCTATACTTTTAACTATCATTCATTCTCATAACGACTAGCAAAACATACATTTTATATGTTCTTCTAATATGCATGTCCCATTTCATACATATCACATCATATACAAAGCATCACAAAAGTTAAGGCTTTTAAGCCTTTCAGTCAATACTATTTACATAATATCACGTCATATTTAAATAAATAAAATGCTAAGTCATAATGCAATTCTCATCATCTACATATTCATCAGGATCATCCTCCAGATCCTCCTCGGGGTCTTCCTCTGGATCCGATTGAGGATTATCACTAGCTTCCTCACCAATGGTCCTAACGCAGGTCCATCTTCGCCGAACGGCTATAGGCTCGTCCGCTACCTCTATCTCGGGTCTCAGTTATTGTCGAGAGGTAGTGGCTTCCGCATCATGTCTCCTGATACGGGTGTTAGAAATGGGAAGTCTCGCCTAACCGCCGATGGCCCTGTCCTCTCCTCTAGCATCTGGAGCTCACACTGCTTCACCTCGGTGATAAACTGTGTGAGGGTATGATCCGATCGCGAAACTAGCCGACACTGGTACTCTTTCGTCAGACCTCTCCATAGGATATGACACCGCTCCTCCTCACTTAGATTAAAAATCTGATTCAGAGCTAGTACATCCGTCAAGACTCTCGCTATGTATGCTACGACTGCCTCTTCCAATCTCATACTAGTTCTCTCGGCTTGTATGATGAACTCTTGAGCTCGGGTGTAGGTTACGGCTACACCTACCTGGTTCTGTGTCTCTCCACTCAGCTGTGGTGCCGACTCTGATGGCATGACCAGGGGAAGAAACTGATGTTTCAACATGTGGCAAAAACCTCTCCATTGCATCTCTGTTATCTCGTCCTCATCCAAGGCCTGCCAAAATATCAGGGCATTGCCTTCCAACAGAGACGCTGCTAGCATAATCCACTCGTCTCGAGCTATATCACAGGCTTGCATTACGTACTCAACATGGTGTAGCCAATCCCTAATTCTAGTGGAATGTGAAAGCCCATCATAGAAAGGTGGATTACAGGTGTAGAACCTAGCTGCGGCTCGACCTGTAGTCAAAACGCCTCTCCTTGCTCGGTGTGCAGTCCGCCATGGGCTCTAGAGCCCTTATCTCCCGATCCACTGGTGGATGGCTGTATCTAGCGGGAGTGGGTACCGACCTCTCTAGATGTTGGAACCGTGAGGTTAGAAACATTCTTACCCATCCCCACAACGTATTCTCTCGTGATGTGGGCGCTACCATGATGATGGATGTGATCGATCCATTAGTACCTGTTTCATCTTGCTAAAAGAAATAAGCAATCTCAGTTTTAGTTCATAAACTAATTTACCTGGACTAGGCAGAAGCATAGGTGCGGGATTATCATGGCAGGAGTAGCAACGCCGCTCTGATACCAACTGTAACGACTCGCGCCCTAGCGGCGGGTCACCAACCTTATACTACTCCTAATAGGCTAAGTTATAGTCTAATCCATTGTGCATTTCTAGACTATAGTCTCTTAAATTACGTTCATATTCGGGTAAATTTTTTTTCCTTTACTTTAACCCTCGGGTTCGTAACATGTTATGTCATTATGCTAATAACATATCTTGCTATTACTTTAAGGATTCGGATATCAAACTAG